GGTCTTCCATAGAATACCTGGGTGATTCACCTGTGCAACATGGCAGGGTTCCATGTTTGGTCGGGGTGCAAGGGGATCCCACGCTCCAGTACTAAACCGGAGTCCTTTCTGTGGACAGATTCTCGTCAGCGTTGAGTTGGTTGACTTTCATCAAAGTCTAGCCTTCAGCAACAGAGCTCTTTCTACTATTGTGCGTTACTTGAAAGCAACTTTGTGGATGCTCTCCTACCTTGTGCATCGGAATTCTGAACAGACGATACCGTATTGTTACTTCTCTGTGACCAGAATATCTTTTTATTCGCTTTGATGCACAAGTCTCACTTTGTTCGTCCTGCTACACGATATGGATCGTGATCATATCTCGCGATACTGCCCCTCTCAGCGTCCAGAACGAGACGACACCGATCGTTCTCGATCTCGATCGGTCACGCAGCGCCGTTCGCGCTCCCCTCTACCACTCCCTCCACGGGAGACATCTCGTATTGGAGAAGTAACTTCCAATCGTCTCATGGAGGAATCGTCGACGGCGGAATCTCCAGTACAACCTCGCTCTTTTATGAGTGCTCGGTCACGCGCTTCAGCCTTTACAGAAGCAACAAGTGCGCGTTCATTGTATCGATCGAGATTAACCCCCCAAACATCCACTACTTCCTCGATACACCGATATGCCAGCCCAACATCGAGATCACTAGCACGACAGCGCTCCGTGGCGAGACATACTACACATACGCCTCCTCCTCGACCGTCCGTTCCATGCCAGACACACCCAGACTTCTCGATTGAGGGTGAGCAAGTCCGCGAATCGATCGGAATCACCAATGGTCGAGCCCATATCGATCAGTCAAGAGCTGCGTCGGCCCAGCAGCCGAATCTTTTATCCGCTTCACCGACCGACGTGCTCAAACTAATCGAAGACGCCGGTCAACTCTCGACGCTGTTGACGCAAGGATTTGGTAATAGACACGATCCCAATTCTAATCACAGATCAGAAGGCGTCGCCCTCTATAACCTAAGATACAAGGCGGCAGAGGTATAGTTATAGAAGACTATCGCCTCTTTAATTACTACTATTAATCTTAGAAAGAATTATTAGTACAGTTTATAAGATCTACTAGCTAAGGAAGTAGAAAAATCTATTTTACTCTATATTAGTAGGCTAATGCAAATTAGCATTATAGGCAAGACTAGGCAAGGTAAATCTTGCCTTATTAGAGGTCTATTAGGTAACAAGAGTATTGTTTAAACTATAAAGAGTAGCGAGAGCCTAACTAGAGTAATTCTAGAGTACTATTACTAGATTAATTACAACTCTTAATTTAAATACTATGTAATTATCTCTTTTCTCTTATAGAAATCTATACAGAAGTAGATTAAAATATACTTTAAATACTAGAACTATAGGCTTCTATTATATAAAGACAAGAGCAAGCATAAAGATAAAGAAAAAGATTAAAGCCTAGATTCTGCAGGCCTAGATTCTTCTAGAGTAGATATAGAAATAGCTATAAGGTTTTTCTAAGCACTCTTTTATAGAGACTCTAGTTTTAAGAATAAGAAGGCTATAAAGAACTACCTTCTAAGTAGTAAATAGTTATCTATATAACATAATATATAAGATTAGCTTATTAAGCGCGCTTGCGATATGTATAATAAGCTTAATTATTAGAATATAAATATATATAAATAAATTACTAAAGAGCTATAGCATAAGCTTGCTTAAATTACGCATAGTTGCTTAGCTAATAACTTAAGAGAAGGTTATAACGCTTAGCTCTTTGTTAAAGTTGTTAAAATTAGTAGCCTCTTTTCCCTGTCTGAGTACATTATTATCGCTGACACCCTAGGTTAAAACGACTTAAATCGTCTTGCGCGTGCCAGCGTGGACGACTACCTACCCTCTTGTTCGTCCGTCATAATAGCGTGCAACATTAGTCGCATCATATCTGACGACAGCCTCCCCAATCAAATTGAGAAGATTCAACGTCACCGTCCTGTGACAGTAGTCGCTACATTCTCTGAGGTACGAGGAATCGATCTATCAGGACGCTCTTGCTGACTCTAAGATAGGACGTCGGCCTGGTTCCCAGCAGGCACACTAAGCTCAGCCCAGACGAGAAGCATACGTATATGAGGCTTCACGAGAAACTCAAACAGCTTGAGAGGGAAGATTTTCAGCCCCGAACTCTGGATCAGAGCCCTCCCGCTGAAGCTATACTACGCAACCAGTTGACGCAAAAACATGTGAAGAAAGCGTACGTGAATAGCTGAGAATCCGGGCATTGTTGATACTAACTGGAACATAGCGTTGCGCAAGTGCTTGTTGAGGAACGCAGCCGGCGCGTGAAGGAAAGGCTTATGGCAGAAGCACGGGGCAAAGGCCGTCCTCACGCAGTGTTTTGTGTGTCCGCTTTCGACTACCAGCGCAACATTAGGGGGGTTGCTGCCCACGACCCCGCCCTTCTCCCTCTCAACCCCAACGATACGGAAATACCTGCATTGAAGCGACATCTCATCTCGTTGTGCTCGCCCATGCGAGTGGAAGAGCTAGTCCGCTATGTGGGCGCAACATTACCAGGTCTCATGCTTAGCATGCAGATGGGGATCAACAAACGAACCGATGTGTTCCAAATCAAGATCGAAGGTGGAGTCGAAAATCTGAGTAGTGTAAGCGGTTTAGATTGCCACGAAAGCCAAACTAATACCGTCCCAGACATGTGTAAAGAAGGTCCATCGATGCATCGACGATGTATTCAGGGATCGAATCGAAAAGCCCTTACTGGTCACCTTGCGTACGCGGCTACCTGCATTTATCGAACGTGCTGAGGAACTGTGCGAAGTGTGGCTTCAGGTGGGATTTGAAAATATCTTAGAGATACCTACTGACGCTTCTAGTGGCATCATAACACGCACAAAACATTTGTCGGCAACCTAGGTAATAGACGCCTTCTTATCTATAGAGTTAGACTGATGGCGTTCAAGGCAATTACAAAAAGCCCAGAAAGGGCAAGCCCAGTTGGAACCATCAGTTGCTCGAGCAGCACCGCATAAGCCTCAACCCGATTTTTCAGAACATCCATGAAGCTCTATGGAACAGTATCGAACCAGTGAAACGTGAAATTCTGTCAGCAATGGGGAAGCTAGCCGAGGACATTCGCAGTGAGTTGCCTATACGAAACTTGACTCCTTAGCTGACAAAATGAAGAGCAGTATCCAGAGCATAGACCTGCTGAGCTGAACCTACTCCTCAACAGCATCTACATGAAATTTGCACCTGTTACCACGATGAAAACCAAGTGCATTACCAATCTGAGAACGTTCATCGAGTAGATACTCGGCGAGCGGACGCCCCACTTCTTTTGCTGACTTCGACTGTAGGAAGCAGAGATTACGCTGTCTTACTGACACTGACGATATCTCCTACTTCGGGTACGCCATGATCGATGTATACACAGCGAGCAAAGAGATCAGGCGAGGGAACAAGAAGGAGGAGACACGAAAGGTCATGCAACATCGAACGTTCAAAAGACTGCTTCGCGACGAAGAGACAACGCCATACCACGCGATTCCTGTACAACTACAACAAGCCATCAACTCCCAAAAGCAGCTGATCAAGGAGTACTTGGAGGAGAAGATTGGGTCGTTATTCCAGGCCATCGGTAATGATCTGAAGCGATTGGGAGTGGAGCAGGCGAGCCTGAACCACAGCGAAGACCGCGAGGTTCGTGAGTCGATTGGCAGGACGCTTTCGAAGGCGAAGGAAGATCTTGGGACGATTGAGGCGTTGTTGAAGGAGAGCGGCGTTGATTGCGATGGTATCAAGGATCAGTTGACGTGACGATCTTTTTCTAGATATGCATTAGATGATATCGGGTAATGAAATTCTATTGCTTTAGTGTTGTTGATATTCTTCCTCTCTAAAGTCAACTTCTGCATACTCACCGCACGAATCTGCCCACTACTGCTCGCGTCTAACAACGAAGAATTCACCTAGGTAGTCCGGTCTTCTACTCGCAAAGGTATTAACTAACAGAGAATGAAATATTGTGCATAGGTCATGCTGCTCGTGTTTAGTCAGGTCAGCGTCTGCGCTGTTGCTTCGAGGATGCGCCACACTATTATCCCCCGGGGGGATAGTGTGGCGCATGCTGGGTAGACAGTGTGGCGCGCGCTGGGCTGTCTCGCCTTTACCACGAACTACCTAGGTACGTTTCCAACAGAGGCCCAGAGATAGATATCACAAGACAAACTATACGATTGCCCGCATCGGGGTCTGAAGCGACAGCTGTGTTTCGCAAAGCAGGGAAAACACGAGTCCGAGCTGTTACTTTCGTGTTGAAGAAAAGCAAAAACACAGCGGCACGCATGCTCCTATTTCGGGGCGGACTAGACCACGCTAGCCACCAGCGCTAACACCTCCCTGCATCAGCCACCCAGTTCTCCCAACCATCCCATCTCTCCGACATCGACTTGACACACGCCTACGCATGCGCGCTCGACTCGTATGTGGAGACGACAGATGCTACCTGGCCATGATAAAGTTCCGGCCCTGGGACCCGCTGTCAGGGTCTGGCTGCGCACGCTGCGCTACGGCAAGACACCCAGACCAATCGACCGCCGATGCGAATGTGAGGCTGTCACTTGGCGACGGGATCCACCGCTACGTTTTTGCTACGTATGATGTGCTGGGGCCTGATTCAGATACTAGGCTTTCAGGGACTGAAGAGATGCATGGAGTGTGTGGCTTGCGACTAGCAGGCTCTTCAGATGTTGAGTTGAATACCCTGGTTGCCATGACGGAGGCTCTATGGAGACAGGACGTGATGGCGAGAATGGTCCCCGTCTACTCTTCGCACTATAGCCATTCGCAGGTCACGTGCAAAAACGGTCGCGATCTCTCTGGATTCGCAGTCACATGCTATTCATTCGTAATCTAACGGCATCCAGTCGTTCACCAAGGCCTACCTAGGTAACCAACACAACCAGCAAGCAAAACAACCCCATCACAACTCCCGCTCAAACTCATGGCTCTGCAACATCGTCTCCCCCCGCCCATCTATACTCACCCTATGCAACCTCCCAACATTCTTCCCCAAATCCAGCTCCACCAAACTATTCCTCCTCTCTCCCCTCCTCATCCGGGACGCAGAACCCGTCATCTCCTGATCCACAATCTCCGTATCATCAGGCATAACCTCATCCTGCGGTACATCTTCAATGCGAAACAAAAGCTGGTATTCCGGCGCATCGTCCGGGCGCTTAGGATTCTTCTTATCCCGGAAAATCGTAATACTGGGAATATGTTTCAACCCTAATTCCGCCTTGTGCTGAACCAGCGTGAACGCTTTGTTTGCGCCGACGGGTGTGCCTAGCAGTGCGTGATACTCCTCACTGGACTCGTCGACCTGGAGACCTGGCCACTCTGGTACCTCGTTGTAGCCTTTGCTTACGAGAATTCGGTCGATGACGGGGACAGTTTCAGTGTTGATGATGCTGCTACCGAACCAGTATTTCAGGTTCTTGGGGTTGGGGTTGCGCAGCCAGTAGGCAGCGAGGATGTCGGAGGCTTGGCGGAGGGCGGGGAGTTGGTCCACCGGGAAGCCTTCGGCGTAGTTGTCCATGGCGGCGGGCCAGGGGGCCATGAAGTAGTGGCCGTAGATTGCTGGAAAGGGGGGTTAGTGGGTGGTGGTTGAAGGGATGGGGGGAGAGAGTATTTACCTCCTTGTTCCGCGTTGAAGGCGAAGCGGTAGAAAGCTCCAGTAGCCTATATATAGTCAGCCAAACTGTCAGTGTTTGGCGTATCTCTCTTCCTGGAATACTCACGCCATACTCTTTGTGGTCGGGGTCGTTGTCAAGGAAGTAAGTCTGCATGTCTACCGGGAGATCATAACCATCATCGTCCACGGCGTCCTCTTCCATATGCTCGATAGAGTAACACTTGTTCTTGCCACCAAACTCCACCGGCTTGGTATCCAATCCAAGGTCGCTCAGCGCAGCCTCGATCCTGTTCTGAATCTCCACGTTTGCGAAGTCGTCCGAAAAGTGGCAGTTAATTTCCGGGTCATAGTAGGCTTCATGCCAGTACCAATCCCTTAGTTCGGCTAGATGCATGTCAGTGTCAATGGCTGCGTAAGGATGGTGATGGTGATGGAATGGATAGAAGTTACCTTCAAGTGTTCCCTTCCACTGGCTTGCCGCTGATGGCGGATTGCGGTCGAGGTAGTTGGGCCAGTTTCGGCCGGCGACCTCGTCTGGCATTTCCATGAGGCAACGGAGCCAGTTGCCCTTCTTCTTATACTTGTCCCAGCTGGCATCGTTCGCGTAGTCGGTGGGGTCAAAGTCCACAGCAGTCTGGACTAGATTCGGCTCGGAGGTGGGGGCTTTGTCGTTGGTAGATGAAATGCTCACTGCGCTATCGCGACGATCTAGAAGGCTTGATGGAAAGGCTGTGGAATTGGAGGAGCCAAAGGATACTTCGACATGCTTGCTGTAGACCAGCGGTACACAGATCACGGTAAGGAGAAGTGTAGCAATCTTCATGGCTGATGTGACACACGGATTTCGTTCCTCGGGGTATGGGTGTGAATTTGGTTGAGCATTGCATTACTCCAAGCGAGAGAAGTCAGGAGTAAACACACAAAGCGCTTCTTCATAGTCGTGAGTCCGCCTAAACAAGTGGATACAAGCGTTGATAGGAAAGCATGCGCGGCGAGTGGCGATTATCCAAGGGCGTAGAATGTGGAGTGAATGCACACTCCGAAGGCGTCATCAAACTTGCTCAACCCCATAACTAATCACCGCCGTCCTACCGCCCGTATCAAGACTCACCTGATGCAATCTCTTCACATTCCTCCCTGGATTAACCACCTCCACCACACTATCCCTCCTCTTGAAGACGTCCTCTTTATTCATGTCCGCATGTACATCAAAACCCACAATCCCCGTATCCATATCGTCAGGCCTCAGAACATCCTCCGGAACGTCTTCAATACGAAAGAGCAATTGGATATCCGCCTCAAAAGACGGATTCGCTTTGTAATCTCGAAAGATAGTGATATCGGTAATGCGCTTATCGCCGAGTGCGGCTTTGTGTTGAAGAAGAAGGTACGCGAGTGTTGCGCCTATGGGTGAGCCTGATGTAGTGTTAGTAAGAGACAGTTGCTTGTTCTCAAGGTATTGAGGGTATGATATGTCGTATTATCATAACCTAGGAGAAAAGAGACAGCGCCAACCTACCAACCAAAACAGTCCCTTCTTCGCTATCCGCACTAACACGTACACCAGGCCACTCGGGTATCCTGTCATACCCACTCTCCTGCAGTATCTTGTTGATCAGAGGTAATGTCTCCTCGTTAACCACATTGTTCGCGAAGTAATACTTCAAACCCTTCGGATTAGGCGTTCTTGACCAATAAGCCGCTAAGACATCTGACGCGAACTGGAGACGGGGAAGTTCGTTGGGCCGGGGCGTGTGGGCCCAGTTCTGCGTTGCTGCGTGGCGGGGTGCGTCGAGGGACTGGACGAAGAGCGCTCCTTGTTCTGCGTTGATGACGAAGCGGTAATGTCCTCCAGTAGCGGTGTACGTGTCCCGTCCCACGGCGTACATTTGGTCGTTGGCCGGTACATGCTCTCCGTTTTCGTACTCTTCCTCGGGATCTAGGTGTTCAACCGAGTAGCCCCTGTTCTTTCCTCCTTCGGTAGCTGGTTTGGCGTCTAGCTCGAGTGCAGCGAGCGCAACACCAATGCGGTTGTACCCATTACCATCATTAGTGAAATCGCAGTGATGGCCTTGGTGGTATTCGGCCTCGTGCCAGTTCCAGGTCGCGAGCTGCTCTGCGGATGAGGTAAGCAGAGGCTCGACGTTTTCGAAGAGAAGAGAGGAGGGGTGGATCCTAATGGCTTACCTTGCAGAGTGCCTTGCCACTCACTGCTTGCGGTGGTGGGTACCCGGTTCAAGGGGTCAGGCCATGCTTTGCCTGCTTCCGAGTCGGTCATATCCAGGAGACAATTGAGCCATCCGCCTTTTGTAGCGTATATGCCCCAAGTTTCCGCGTTGGCGATGTTGCTTGGATCATAGTTCGTACGAGGGCGGATGGTGTTCAATCGTGGAGTGCTGTGAAGAGTGGAATCGCCAAACGGTACTTCGATGAGAGTGCTACAAACGAGTCCCGCGAGTCCCGCGATGCTTTGGAACGATCTCATGGATTTGGTATCTTGACGTTGATCAAGTCATGAGTCTTCCAGTCCAACATGTTATCTCGGGTGGACATAGCAGCGAGCGGTGGGCACGCGCGGCGAACCGTTTTGGGATAAAAATGACAGTGAAAGAATGCGCATCAAGTGTATTGCGTGATTAGCAAACAGTTAACGAGGCGAATTCTGAAAGGCAGCAGATGCAGTGCTTCACGCACTTCCCAGACACCGCGCGCCCACAGGAAGTGGTCTACTGTTGGACATCACTATAATCCTCCCCTGAATCTCGATGGAGTCATAGTCAAAACTATCCATCTTCTACAGGTGCGACAACCATCCAGAGAGGGGCAATAAACGCTTGAAACAGAAGAGATGCAAGACTAAAGAAAGAGGATGGGACGAAAGGAAATCTGATGTATACCAGGGGCTGCGAAAACAGCGAACCATTACCCAAAATAGACGAAGACGGATATAACTTCTCGACTCAATAGCCGCCAACTTACAGCAACAGTCCATGTCGACATGGTCGACTCGCCCTGCGATATCTCCATATAGCCCTCCTTCCCACCCGATGCCTACCCCCTTTCCCACATATCAATTCACCCTTACCCTTAAGACGCAAGCTTACCAACACCATAAGGCTGAGTACCACACCGCCGCCTCAAGCATTCCAGAACAATGTTGGTCAGACCGGCTCATCTCACGCCGTCCTCTACCCGACGCCTTGGTTTACGGGATGCCGGTCGCACAATACTGCTTGCTTGCTTTTACCCGAAGCACGCGAACCCAAAAATAAGCAAGCAAGCAAGTTACGTTACTCAGCGCGATGGCGCTGTATCATGGATGTGCGCGCGCGTCACGGGAACACATGTTCGACTATGCTTAGGTGTACCGGAGTGAGCGTGCTGACTGCGCGGTGGAAAGGTTGGGTTACTAAGGGTGGGGATGAGTGGTGATGCAGGAGAGATGAGAGCGACCGTCGCCTCTACCACGCATCCTACACATGTTCGGCCATGCTAGGTGTACCGATGTTCGCGTGCTGACTGTGTTGCGGAGTCGAGCAAGGCTTGTGGTATGTTGCGCGCGTGAGACGGGCCGTAGTCTGCTTGGTGTATGGATGGGCCGCGCGGAGCGTCGCGGAACGACTGTATCAGCGCAACAGCTGAGGTCAGTCGTTGGTGTTGAGCAGCAAGCCGGAAGAGCTGCGTGCAGTAATGGTGACCGCTTCATGTCATCATGGAATGGTAGTTTGACCAGTAAAGCTCGCTCACTAGGCGGTGGTGTGAGGGAATCCTGGATATTGGTACCGCGAGGGAGATGCCGTATTTGGTGCCATGCCCATGTCTATCGAGAACCCGAGTCCTGGGTTCATGCCACATGGAAGGCGTAATCGTACGAATGCAGTAGCTCTGCCGTAAACCTGCAACCGGTGCAATTGGGCTGACCGGGGGAATGGGGAATAAGGAAAGCTGCCGACACGATGATTGGGGACGCGACGGGTAACGCATGCAGCCAAAAACCATCGCAATTGGAACGCCATTTCCATCCAAAGTACAAAGAGGAGTTATTCGAAACTAGAGTTTGGCGTTACTGGGAGGGCTGCAGCCGGCGCATTCGTTTGGGATATCGGAGGAACAAGAAAGTGTATCGATAGTGGCAGGTTATCCATCGTGTTCCGGAAGCGTACATGTGCATCGCGCATGTGGAACGGCATCGTATGTCTGAGGAGAGCTGATGTCACTGAAATTTTCCTAGTGTGCATCGGAGAACTCTGTTGCAGTCGATACAAAGCTGAGGAAGGTTTCTCTTTGTGCAGCGTACCTTGAACCTACCTGGTAGTGCTGACTGCACACGTGGACATGTCGGCGAAGAGCAGAGGAACTGGTGTTCGGCAGCTGCAGTCAGCCTCGGATGCTAGCATATTGGAGGGCAGCCAGATGACGCACGAGGCCTGGCGTAGCGAGCTTCAAGACGGCGCACAAGAGTACCGGAGCAGCGGAATGATGCGAAAAGGTACATACTTCCGGATCGACGGCGGAAATTTTTCTGGTGCGACAATCATTGAGTCGCGAGAAATGTCGCGGGGCTGGCACGCGGAATTGCTCAGGGAACACGATCGGGGGAGAGGCGGCCTCGGACTGTGTAGCCCAAAGAGTAGTGAATTGGGCGCCAGCGCAAGGAGATCATCAGGGACGAGTGATGGGCTACGTTGATGTGAAGTCATCCTTGTTGATCGCTTTCACGCTGGCGTCCGGGGAGCTCTGCGACAAATCCGAGATGAAGCAGGTCTTTCAGCAGTGGCCTCGCAATAACCCGGCGCAACGTCTTGCCTGCTTGGACGTTCAAAGGTAGTTCCTACGTTACACTGTAAGGCCCGAATAGAGCTGCGTGAAACGCTATGAAATGCGACGCTCGAAAGCTGAATTGCCTTGTGTAGATGGCTCCGCCCGCTAATGGTACCGAATCCCCAGCCAGTACCTGTCAACATGACAGCTAGTGCGACGGTGCTCATGGAACTCTCCTTCTGCAGCAGCGCAAAGTTCGTACAGCGCACACTTGGCCTTGAGTCGGCATGAATGCGCTGGTACATCGGCGAAGCGGCTCGCGGGCCCTCTTCCAGTAGTCAGGCGAAGGTCCACACAGAGCAGAATTCCACGTGTAGACAGGGTTCTCTTTGTACGCGATGATCCTTTTGGAGATGACAACCCTTGCTTCGCTTCTCATCGCTGGGACTGGCACGCAGATTGCAGTAGCGCGCTCAAAGAGGAAGTGCCAAAAGCCGTTCCAGGACCCACTTTCCCTCCTCCCCGCAAGGTCTAACTCACGATCACAATTTCGACAAAGTTTTCTGTGGAGAAATCCGTCAAACACCTGTCAAATTGCAAGGCGGTCGGAATTGACAGCGATGCTGCCAGTAAAACGTCGGTGGCTTGGACGGACGTTGAGAGGAAGATGACCTGACGGAGTTCAGACCCTGTCGATGTGTGACGACGCTGCACTGGTTATCGGATGATGGCTGTGAATCACGATCGCGAGGATAGAGTTGAGCGAGCATGGACTGAAGATCGCGAACGCTGTTTGAGCCCTCAACGCTCCCGCACTGATAGGCGTGAGGCTGTGGCAGCCCAACGTACGACGGGCGCAGGTATCAGCGGAAGACAGCGATCTCTCAGTACAGTACGTACTGTACACAAGACGGTATGAGCAAACAAACACGCTGGTCGAGCGCTGGGCGGTGTCGCGTGGCTTTCGGCATGTCTCTGCGTGAGGCTAGTGGATAAGGACGGGATGCCCTTGTCGCGCGTCTCAGCCTGATTGTGAAGCACACGACCCCTGTCGATACCCAGGACGGCGAATCAGGGTTGGTGCTGCTTGCGAATTATATTATTGGACTGGCATAACGGCTGCATTCTGGCAAATGTGTTTACGATGGACGGCGGGCTGTAATACGGAGGAATCCCAAGGGGGCAAGAGCGATGTCATCGTTCCTTCCGTGCCAGAAACAATTCGTCATGGCGACGGCTGGGCTCCGTGGTGGGTGAGCGAGTGCGTCAACGAGGCTGCGACGTGTAGGTTTTTTGGAGAAGCAAGCGATTGTGCGCGAAACCTTGCTGGTCATGATCCCGGGACGTCGAACGCATGCAGCATCCGTGTGCTTGGAGGCGCGGAAGGCTTGCAGTGATCCGCGAATGCGACGTGTCTGAGAACGACCGGCGGCCAAATTTCTTGGTCGTGAATAAGTGCGCATTCTGTGTCAGTTTGTCTGCGATGATCAGGGACAGCCTGGGAGTGAGGGCGACTCAGCGGGCGATTCATTCTTCCTTCCAGAGGCTTTCCAGAACAAACCGCAGGCGAGATTTTCGTGGCGCCGGGCCCACTCACCGCAAGCCGGGCAACGCTCTCATTACGGCACCTGGCGATGCTGCTGGCGAATTGCTTTGGCGGCCGCGGTGCAGAGGCATAGTTGTTTGCACGCCGCAGATGTGATGGTGGTGCTGGGCTGCGGCGAGGGCAGCTCCTTCCTCATCGCCACGCACGCGAGGGTTGGTTGAGGCAGGAGCAGCCCATCCCACGTGGCGCAACCCCGTCACAAGCAACGACGCGGAAGCAAAGGCTCCAAGACAGCTACGGTTCATCAAACCACAAAAGCAAGCTGCTATGAACATGTCCCGTCAAACATCAGCCGCCACGGTCAAAGGCAAGTGCACTGCGATCCCGACAGCCAGTAACCCGGTTGGCTGGGAGGCATGGAGGGCAGACAGGGCTGCCAGAGAGGTGATTCAGCATAGGCAGTGGACCGGCCGGGGAAGGACATCCGGAAGTCTGTGTGGCGTCTCTGAACCTTCTCTTCTTGCTTCTGGCGCAGTCCAACAAACGCGGCACGAGTCGACGCCGCCGGTCAAAGCAGCGAGACGGGAGCGCTGACACTGTCTCATCTAAGCCGCCGTGTCTGGAAGCGCGCGGCGACAGCCAGACAAAATGCGAAAGGGCCGCGAGCCCAAGTGAGAGCGCTGGGAGACGCGCCTGACAATCGCCTCCATGGTACGCCATGTTACGCCATGTTACGGTGAAAAGGCACTGAAGCAGTCAGCACAAGCACACCCTTCGCAGGCTGGCACCCCAGCGAAGCCGTTGGCATGGCTCTCGTTAGCGCCTGCAGGTACGGCTTTCTAGCGCGGCACTATTCAAGGGGGATAACCAGCTTGGTGGTAACAGTGCGCAGATCACCCTGGCTCCTGATGATGGCAAGGGAGCCTACCTTGAAACAGGCCGAAAGACCCGTCGCTCCCGATGCGCAATGT